AGTAGTAGTAGTAGTAGTAGTAGTAGTAGTAGTAGTAGTAGTAGTAGTAGTAGTAGTAGTAGTAGTAGTAGTAGTAGTAGTAGTAGTAGTAGTAGTAGTAGTAGTAGTATAGTAGGGCTTCTCTGGCGCATCTTGGGGGTTGCTCGGGGGCGGCGTGAGGATTTCTTGGCGCTGCCTGGGGCCTCCTCAGGCGGAGGGCTCGAATTAGCCGCTCGGGTCCCCCGTGTGGGCACTCGCTTGGAGCCGTCTTGGGTGCCTCCTGGGCCGTCTTGGAGGCCTTTTGGGCCGGCATGGGGCCCTCTCGGGTCGTTTGGGGGCCCTCTCGGATGTCTCTGGGGCTATCTGTTTTGGGGCGATCTCGGGGGCCTCTCGGGCCGTTTTGGAATGTCGGGAAGCCGAAAAGGCGAGAATCCGAAAATTGATCAAACACCATATTTTTGCCTCTTGCGAGCGCTCTTGGAGGCCTTTTGGGGCGTCCTGGAAACCTCTTGGGTCATCTGGAGGCTACATTGGCGTCTGGGACCGAGAGTTCGTTGATTCGAGGTCCTCTTGGACCGTCTTGGTTCGTCTTGGGGGGTTTTGAGCTTGGGGACCTCCCGGGGGGGGGGGGGGGCATTCTGATCAGGGCCCCCCCCCCCCCAGGATCCCCCCCCTGGGACCCCCCTGGGACCGCCCCCCCCCCGACAGGGAGGGGGTTCCCCTTCGAATGAATATCGACATTCGTTATTGCCGTTTTGGCTAGCACGCTTGACATGAAAGGCCCAGGGTAAGAGAGGCAACGGCTGGCGCGTCGGCGAAGGAGACCCAGGAAAAAGGTTGGAATGGCGACGGCGACGACGTTGACGACGAGGAGACGACGAATGAAGCAGCGACGAATGAAAGAGTCTCTTCCACACGCCGACAGGGTCGGCGGATTCAGTCTCCCTTGTCTTCTTTGAGCCTCCCAGCCCTGACCATGGTTCGTCGCGTGTGCTTGCTTGCTGCATGTCAGCTTGCCCAGTTTGTCCAGCTGGCTGGTGCTTCTGCGTGCGGATTCACGGGGTGGCACCCAACTGTGACGTCTGTTCCTTTCGAAACGGATCCCCCCCTTCACTTCATCAGTTGTTCGATCATGAGCCCCTTGTTGATCGCAGCCCTCCAGCTTGCGCCGGAGACAGCCGAAGACCGCCAGAAACTGCCGAAGATCGCCGGAGACCGCTGAAGATCGTCTGAAGACTGCCGAAAAGACCGCCGAAAAGACGGGCCGAGGCTGGCTGGTGACAAAAGGGGTCCGTGCTCGAATACGTATCGACTGCACATAAGAATGACCTTTGGTGCGGGCCCAATGGGGTCCCCCGATCGCCGAGAGCGATGGGGCAGTATCGTTTTGCGCGCTTGCGTTTGGCCTCCCCCGCGGCCTCCCAGAAGCCGCGCACCAAAGGTCACTCTTACCCAGGGTCACTCCTGCGTGTAGCCGAACGTAACAATGAAGAAGGTGGTGGTCTGATTCGGCTTGGCATCGCTCGAACGTGTGCATTTTTCTCGGCGAGGGCCATCGTGGTCGGAAACTTTGAGGGTCGGGGACGACGTCGTGGTGGTGTGGTGTATACTTTTCCCTTGTTTTCCCATAGAAGCAACAACAAATGCATACACCAGGATGCCGTATACACCAAAATCCGGTTTCTTGTGCGGGTCTCAGTGCGGGACCAGGAAAAACAGCGTCGGTGCATAGAGTGCGGTTCCTCACATCGCTCGGACGTGTGCATTTTTTCTCTCGGCGAGGGCCATCGAGGAACGAGCATCCTGGATCCTCTGGCAGAGAGAGGCCGCGCGAAGCCGACAACTGCGCCTGGGGATAGACGTCTGAGCGAGAGCAGGCCCGGGGGGGGGTCTGATTCGAGCTGTCTCGGCGAAGGGGCCTCGGGGGTCTGGGCCCAGCGGCCGCCCTCTCGTGGCTGGCCTGGGGGGGCGGGGGGGGAGATTGCCCGTCTGGGAGGGCTGTGGCCCCCACCCTTTCTCGGCCACGCGCAGAAGGGGGGTGGGGGGAGGGGGAGGGCTTCTTAGAAGCACCCCTGCTTCTTAGAAGGCGCGGGCCTCATCTGTAGATGTAAGGCCGGCGCCTTCTAAGAAGCAGCCTCCTTCTAAGACGCCCTCCCCCCTCCCTCCACCCCCTTGTGCGCGCCTTCAGGCGACATGTGGCCACTTTCCCGTGGCCTCTCCTATTGGAACGAACAAAATACATAAACACAAAAACTCAGAGCTCCGCGCGGAGTTCTTGGATCCGCGCTGGACCCCCCTCCCTGGCGCGCGGAGCGCGCCAGGGGCCGCGCCGGAGGCGCTGCCAGGGGGGCCCCAGCGCCGATGCGAGAAAGCCGCGCGGACCCCCGAGTTATCATGTTTATGCCACTCTTCGTCCCCCTAACCTCGCCCCAGGCGACCTACAGCCTCTCCGCGCTGCACCCGCACCACGCCGGCGCGGCGGCGCTCCGCCGTCGGTGGCATGTCGCCTCGGCGTCGTCGCCGCCGCCGCCGCCCTCGCTCGCGCCGCCCCTTTTGGTACGCGCGCGCGCGCGCCGCTGCACGCTCTACCCTCCGCCACCCCTCTCCTACAGCGGGGGCGCACATTAAGAAACCATATATATATATATATATATGTTTTTCGTCAGGGTACCCTGGGTTTCTCCGCTCCGCGCGATGCGCGGCGACTTCCCGCGGCCGTTGGAGGAGCTGCTGCGTTCGGGGTGCTCCGGGTTTCCCCTCAGGTGCACCTCGCGCGCGGGTTTTCAGGGTTGGGTTTCTTGCGAGGGTTTCTTGCGACCGCGGCCGCACTGTACCACACACCTGCCCCCATAGGGTGAAGTCGGGCATGTCACTCTCCAGGAAGAAGATTCAAAAACAGGCAAAACATATAGTCAGGGGACTGGTTTTCTATCAACGTTGGGTTATTATTGTGTACGTTTGGCTATGTTTCATCTGTCCTCCAAAATTCGCCTGGAGGAGGACATGCCCGATCTAACTCTGCCCTCGGCCAACCCCTCTCCTAACACACACTTGGTGATTACCGATCTCAACCACTTTTAGCTGGCGACGCGTTTCGGACTCTAGGTCCTCTTCTGGGCCAAAAGGCTGCGGTGTCCCACGCGCGTGCCGTGCAGCGCGCGAGCAAGGCAGCAAGAGGTCAAGAGTGCGGGGGTGAAAAAACCCGGCTGCCCACCCACCCTGCCTAGGCCAACTATGCCGATGCAGCAATCTGAACATGTTCTTCTGCACCCCGACCGAAAAACGTGGTCGACGAGAATCTGGGAAAGTGCGTCCCCGTCCCCGTCGGGCCCTGATCGAGCAGCAGCAAGTGGCATAAGCATGAGCCTTCGGCGCGCCGTGCGGACTTCTTCATCGGCGCGGGGCTCCCCCCCCTGGCGGTCCTCCGGCACCGCCCTCGGCGTCCTCTGCACGCCAGGGAGAGGATCCATCGCCGATCCACGAAGTCCGCCGAGACCGAGCGATTAGATGAAAGTCTTTGTTCTCTTGCTCTGCACGATGTACAGTGAGCGGCTTGAATAAGGAACGCTTACTTTTCAAAAGGGGCTTGGTCGTTCCATTTATCGTTCCTTATGCATTATGTATTATTTATCGTTCCTTATGCGTTATTCCCTGTAGAAAAGGGGCTTCGTTCCTGATTTGTCGTTCCTTAGGTCAGGCCGATGATTGTATGCATTCTCCCAGGCCCGCACGCGTCGCGAAACAAGTCATTCTCGGCTTCTGCGGGCTTCTATCAGGCCTTCGGGCTGCGTAGCTGCGATTCGCGAGTAAAGGAAGGGGTCGAGGGCCGTCCACGTTGTGAACACAGTTTCGTTGTTCGCCCGTCGCCATGTAGCTCAACTTCCTCTACTCATGTATGGTATGGTAGTTATTGCTTTTGTTGTGATACCCACTTCTCCCATTCATGTGCGTGCAGTGTCAGCGCAGTACAATGTGTGGCAGCCCAGCAGCCTCTCGATGAACGCCCGAGAAGGCAATATTTATTGGTGGCTCTCTTCCCAAGCTTCGGATGGGCAGAACATGTGCTCGTTTTGAGGTGGCGGCGCTCGCAGGTGGCTGCGTATCAGGCCCCCGAAGGGCGCCCAATGTAGCATACCCCGAAAGGCAAGTGTCCACACCGTCGAACTTGTAGGATGCGATACTGGTCTCTTTCTGGCCCACTGGGCCCAGATATGGAATATCTGTCTCTCTCTTTCTCTCTCTCCCTCCCCCTCCATATCTCTCTCTCTCTCTCTTTCTCCCCCCTCTCTCTCTGTTGTTTTTTTTGTTTTTGTTTCTCTCTCTCTCTCTCTCTCTCTCCCTCTCTCTCTCTCTCCGAGAGGGGCATCATCGGTGAACACTAGCTGCCTCAGTTCGAAGAAGGCCGTAACTCGCTACCCCTGCCTTCGCCGATGCACGGAGAGCAGCACCAACGCGGCAGATCTCCGTAGGCTCCGAATCGGCGCATCCGTCGGCACCCCGAGGGCCATCACATGTGGCATCCCTCTCTCCCCTCGCCCGTGAGGGCGACGGTGCCCCCAGTGTCGAGAGCAGGCCGTGAGATGCCACGGGTGCATTCCCAGGCGCCAAGAGTGCCGTAAGATCGGGCAGTTCCCCCAAAAAGTAAAGATGACCCCCCAAAAAAGCAAAGGAGCCCCCCCCCAAAAAAAAAGTAAAGGAGACCCTCCAGAAAAAGTAAAGGAGACCCCCCTAGAAAGTAAAGGAGACCACCCAGAAAAGAAGTAAAGGAGACCCCCCCCCCAGAAGAAGTAAAGGAGACCACCCGAAAAGTAAAGGAGACCCCCCCTGTAAAGTACAGGAGAGCACCCACAAACGTGAAGGGGACCCCGCCAAAAAGCAGAGGTCCTCCAGGATCTCTGTGTGGCGCGCTGCCCCGCGGCGCCTCCGCCTCGGCTCGCAGCGGCGTTTTTTGTCAGCCTCTCCTCTCCGACCGGCAGCCCCTGCCATCCCCCGGAGCCCTTGCTGCCGGAGCGGGCGGCGCGATGCAGGCGCCACCGGAGGGAGGGTGACGAGGAGGAGGAGGAGGAGGAGGGGGAGCAGGAGGAGGAGGAGGAGGAGGAGGAGGAGGGGGAGGAGGAGGAGGATGTAGGATGTAGGAGGAGATCGGAGATCGGAGAAAGGAGGAGATAAGAGGAGACTGCAGGAGGAGGAGAAGGAGAAGGAGAGGAGGAGGAGGAGGAGGAGGAGGAGGAGGAGGAGGAGGAAGAGGAGAAGGAGGAGGAGGAGGAGCAGGAGGAGCAGGAGGAGCAGGAGGAGGGGGGCAGAAGGCATAGGAGGCGCAGGGGGACAACCTCATGAGGTTCTGGCGCTGCCTTTTTTGTCCAGGCGGGCGTGCTCGCCTGGCTTCGGGCCCCGGGGCCTGCACAGATCGATCCGGCCCGGAAAAAATGACGCAGAAAGATGGGTTCTATAGGGCCACCCTCAGGCCCCGGGAATCCGCACGTCCCGCGGCCGCCAGCCGCGAGTGCAGTCGTCGACTGGACGTAAGAGTGACCTTTCGCCGGAGTGACCTTTGGCGCGGGCACAGATGGGTCCCCAGATGGCTGGAAACGAAGCAGGAGCAGCGGCTTGCGCGCCCAGGGTTGGTCCCCCCGCGGCCCAGAAAAAGCCGCGCACCAAAGGTCACTCTTACCCAGGGTCACTCTTGCGTGTAGCCGAAGTCGTGGGTCGGAGTCTTCGGAACCGAAGAGGGCCAGGCTTTCCCCTCCTCCAGGCCTGAAGGAAGTGGCTCCGATGCCCGTGGGCCCCCATCCCTCCTCCGATCCCAGAGCGCCACCTGACACTTCAGAGGCACCTTGGCTCGGAGAAGGGATCGGGACGGGACGTGAGGACAGTCGCTCCGTTCCAGAAAGGGGGTAGGAGTGGAAGAGCCGGGCCGAGCCTAGGGAGAGGTCTCCTCGTCGCACTGACGACAGTTCCCTGGTGTCTTTCTCTCTGTATGCTGAGGTCCAGGGAGGAGCTCGAGCGGAACCGTTCGAGGGGGCTGTCGATCCGGCTGGGGATTTCCCGAGCTGGGGACACGATCCGCCGTGTGCCCGTGTGCCCGCTCCGACGTGCGCTCTGAGCCCGGTGTCTTTGCGGCCAGTCGAGGCGGGGAAGTCGCGCTCTCCCGCTCTCCCGACTGACTCCGGCCGAGAGCCGAGTTTGAGATGTCAGACAGAACCGAGTGGGCCAACGTGGCCAAGTCTGGCGCCGCGCGGGTCATTTCCCCGAAGGACGCGAAGATAATGCGAGCAGTGCAGCCTGGGCGCAGCATGTTCTCAAGTATGGTGAGACGCTGGAAACCTCAGGAGGGAACGTTTACCGAGCCCACGGCGAAATCCAGATGGTGTGTCCACGGACACCAAGATCCAGACACGGGGTCCCTCGCCACGTTTGCCCCCACCCCGTAAACAGCATCCATGATGATGTTAATGCAGGTTCTCATGAATAAGGGCATGCTCGGCGACATTGCCGACGTGAGTAACGCCTTTTGCCAGTCGAACCCGATGACCCGAGCAGGCGGAGCCATCTACGTAGAACTGTGCGAGGGAGTTCCTCTTGAGAACGGAGCCCTCATCGAGCTTCTCGTGAATGTGTATGGGCTAGACGACGCGCCCGCTGCCTGGAGAAAAACAGTGATCCAGCATTTGAGCGACCGCGGAAATGTTTGCAGTCTGCTAGAGCCGTGCTGGTGGATGAAGTACGATTCCCGAGGTGTCCTTACCAGTATGATCCTGATTGAGGTGGGTGATTTCTTCATAGCTGGCGCCACTCGGGAGGTGCACTAGACCAGGACCCTCCTCGAGAAGCGATCTCGGTTCGGGAGATGCCGAGGCCTCCACGAGTCTCCCGTGGAATACGCCAGGAGAAGAATCACTCACACGCCTCAACGTATAGTGGCCTACCAGGAGAAGTATATATTAGAGGTGCTGAGGACCGCGACCCTGGCGCCTGGTAGATTGGCCAAGAAGGACACTCCCCTGGATTGCGACCCAGAGTTTAAGCACTTACGCTCGATGATCTACAAGCTGAACTGGGTGGGCCGTGAATCCAGACCCGAAGCTGCCGGCGTTGCCAGCATCCTTGCCAGTAGACTGACGAGCCCGACCGCGTGGGACGTTCCCTGTGCGAACAAACGCGTTCGTCACCTTCGGGCCATGGCCTCAAAGGGATTCGATTTGGTGCTTGGACCTGGACCGCATGGTGTTCGTCCCGTGTTCGGACGCGGGAGGGGTCGGGGCCAGTGCTTCTGGGTTGGACTCCAAGGGCCTCCCTGAGGACCCGACCCAAGGGGCTTCGATGGTGTTGGCGACCGACGGCAGTGTTCTGGATAACAGGTCCGTGCGTGCTTCCGTCCCAGGATGGAGATCGTCTGCGCTGAGAAGGAAAGCGCCTTCCACCCTGGCAGGAGGAGACGTTGGCCCCGGCCTCGGCCGTGGCGGAGGTGGAATACCTTCAAGCGTTGTACCGCGGCGCGGTGTTCCGCGATGTTGGCATCCCGGACTACATGCGCGATGATTCTTCCTTCACCACCGCACTTCGACAGGATTGTAGCTTAGGTCCTAGAGAAGCACAGGCGCATGTGGTAGAAGCTCAGAGTGTGTACGATACAATGGGTAAGAACGGGGCGGCTAGCGCACGAGACAGGAGGACGGCGCTGGATCTAGCTAACACAATCACACTGGTCAACGCTTCTAGTAGGTTTAGCAAGTGAAAGCATTTATACACGAAACAAGGGGATGAAACAATGATGATGGCACGATGTCCGTCTTCCTCGCATGTCCTGGCCCTGCTGCGTTACACCATGAGGGCATGAAGGAGAAGGGGGGAATAGATAGAGAGAGAGAGAGGGAGGGAGTCACGGGTCGGGCTCGGGTGGAGATACGGCAGCCCTTAATCCCACCTCCACGAAATTTTCCCACGAGATCTTCTGGTCGTTGTCTTTCATAACCCTGGCTGATGCAGCCTGGGGCCGGTTCTTCAGGGCGGGGGTACCCTTTCGGTCCACCAGTTCATCGGACTCATCTACCAGAAGCATTTCTGCAGAAGCCATGAGGCGGAAGAGGGCGGCGTTTACTTTAGTGATAGCATCTTTCGTGAGCGGACGTTCGTCCTGGGGTCTCCGGGTTGGGCCTCTCGTGGAAGGTATCTCGTGGTCGAGCCCATGCCGTGCCCGGAGAGGCGCGGCGGCCGCAAGTGTTCTCTGGCACCGACTGGGGGCCCGTGCGTGTTGCCGCCTCCGGGCCCTCTGGCGAAACTGCGGCCGAGCGTGGTGTCGTCCGCTGCACCTTCGGGGGGCCTCGCTCAGGAGGGGAAAAAACACACAGACACAATTAATCGTCGATCCCCAGGAAAATATGGGAAAATATGGGAATTGGGGGGGAAGACAAAAACCCAGAAAATATTGGAAAATATGGGGACTATTTTTATTTGTGTGTATTTGTTTGTGTGTCCTAATGTCCCTTTACTCGCCTGCCCACAAAGTTGGTGTCTTTTCTTGTGCCCGAGGCGGCCCGCAGCGCCGAGAGGGCGGCGGGCCTTCGGAGCGCCCGCTCCCCCGGGAAGGGGGCGGGGGGGGGGGGGCGAAGCTCGGGTTGACCCCAAAAGGGGGTCCAGCGACAAGGGCTCCCTCGAGGGCGCGAAGTTATTCGCGCTTCGCGCTTCGCGGTCCTCGTTCCTTCTCCCCCTCCTCCTCGTCCTCCTCTTCTCCCTCTGGGGGGGGCGGCGCGAGAGCGCGAAGTTATTCGCGCTTCGCGCTTCGCGGAGCGCGAAGCGCGAAGTTGGGAGCCCTAGCAGCGACAAGGGAGTGGAGCAATAGATTTGGTGCAATAGATCTGTGGAGTTGCAATACGTTTGGGGCGTGCAACACATTCCAGGGCGCGGACTGTCGTGTGCAATCAATACATCGCGCGCAATACAACGCAATACAGTTCTCCAGCGCAGTACATGTGCAATACAATTGCCCCAAATCTATCGCACCACCCCCTTTCAGCTGGACCCCCGTTTGGGTCACCCAAAGGAGCGCCGCCGCGAGGGCGCCGAGAGGCGACGACGACGACCACGACCACGACCGCAACCACGACGGACGACGGACGACGGACGACGGACGGGACGACGGACGACGGACGGCGACGGCGACGGCGACGGCGACGACGACGGCGGCGACGGCGGCGACGGCCCCCAGCAGAGCCCACCGCTCCCAAGGCGGCCCCCGCCTTCCTGCAGCCCTCGGGGCCGCTGGCGCGGGCGGCGCCCCCGCCGGGCGACGCAGGCACGCCGCGGGCGGCCGCGTCGGCGGCGGCGGCGGCGGCGACGGCGAGCTGGGCTGCCGCGATTCCGTCGCTGACCCGTTTTGCGGGCGAAGATCGGGCCTCTTCCTCCCCCTCCTCCTCCTCCTCCTCCTCCTCCTCCCTCCTCTCCGCCTCCCTCCTCCTGCTCCTCTCCCCTCCTCCTGCTCCCCCCCCCTCCTCCTCCTCCCTCCTCCTCCTCCTCCTCCTCCTCCTCCTCCTCCTCCTCCTCCTCCTCCTGCTCCCCCCCCCTCCTCCTCCTCCTCCTCCTCCTCCTCCTCTCCCCCCCCTCCTCCTCCTCCTCCTCCTCCTCCCCTCCTCCTCCTCCTCCTCCTCCTCCTCCTCCTCCTCCGCCTCCCTGCTCCCCCCCCTCCTCTCCTCCTCCTCCTCCTCCTCCTCCTCCTCCTCCTCCTCCTCCCCTCCACCTCCTCCTCCTCCTCCTCCTCCTCCTCCTCCTCCCCCTCCCCCCCCCCTCCCCTCCTCCTCCCCCTCCCCCTCCTCCTCCTCCTCCTCCTCCTCATCCGCCTCCTCCTCCTCCTCCTCCTCCTCCTCCTCCTCCTCCTCCTGGAGTGTGCAAAGTTGGGCGGAAGCCCCACTCTGCCCAGGGCCGCCCTGCGTCCTCGCGGATGTTGCAGCCTCTCGAGGCGCGCGGCGCTGCTTAGCGCGGGCCCCCTCTCGCAAGGAGCCGCAGCTTCTTTGGGGGGACGAGTGCGCGCTCCGCAGCGCGAAGGCCGCCGCCTCGTCGCGACCTGCCCCGGCCGCTCCCTACCCCCGCAAGGCGCACCCCCTCCTTTTGCCGCCGTCATGGGCGAGCCGAGGCCTTTCAACCAAGGAGCAGTGTTTGGCTCAAAGGCCAATGTACCCCCAATTCCACACCCTTGCCTACAGTGGGAACTCGACCACTAAAAGCCTTCCACAAGAAGCCCAACACAGAGACCCCAGGACGTGCATTGAATCATGGTGTGGGAGCGCCACGCTTTCCACATAGCAAAGGCACCGAAACCCAAGAAACCCATGGCACCCTGGAGGCAAGCAGGGTGTTTCTTGGCATGGGCTTTCACTGTAGGGCCACTTTTGCGTGTAGCCGATATACATCGGGCCGAACGAAAGGGGGGGACAGGGAAAGGGGGGGTTACGAAATCTGGTGCGTGCAGCTGGTTTCGGCCCCGCCGCCGGGCCCACTCCTCGATGCACGGGCGCCTCCCGGCGACAGGAGGCGCTGGGAAAATCAGGTGCGTGAGCTGATTCTGAAACCCCCATTTTGTTATCCCCTTCTTTCCCCAGTCCCGAAAAGAGCGGTGTCATATGAACTCTTCCGCGGTCGGTGATGCCTGCCCCCCGAGCGGCCGCAAAGGCTATGCCCATACGGGGCACCGTCGAAGCCATAGACTTTGCAGCCGCCCGGGGAGCGTCAGTAAGGACTAGAAGGAAATGAGGAGGAGCGGGAGAAGGGAAGGAGGGTGAATAGCAGGGGATGGCGGCAGGAATGGGAGGAGAATGAGGCAGGAGTCCCCGACGGCGGAACAGTTTTATCTTACACCTCTTTTCGCCCCCGAAGTTTTGAGCCTTCTTTGAACCCTGAAGCGCGATTGCAGTCGTTCCTGATTAGTGGGTCGATCCGGCCAAATGAAGGGGGTACCCTTGCGTCCTTTTCGTTTCGCGACCCATGCCTCCCACACTCCTACTGCAATGTGGCCCTGGGAAGATTCTTGTGTCCTCTCGCGTGCCCTCTCCAATCAAGTTCGACTGCGCCAGTCGAGGAAAAAACTGCATAAGCAGCCTTTCTCCGAGATCCGCTCGGATCCTTCGGATCGGCGCTCGGAGCCCCCCTTGGCGGCGCCTCCGGCGCCTCCCCTGGCGCGCTGCGCGCGCTGGGGAGCGGGGTGACCTCGGCGCCGATTCAAGAAATGTGCGCGCGGACCTCCGACAGTGTACGCTGATGTCCTGGGGCTGTTCTTCGATTGCACGCCGCCCGTTGAAGGTAGGCACTCTGGGGTTCTTTGGAGTCCCGAGCCCTGCCCCAGCAGAACTCGGGGGGAACGAAACGGGGGATAGCAAAGGGCAGGGTAGAGAATCGCCGGGAGGCGCCCACCTATCGAGGAATGGGCCCGGCGGCGAGGCCGAAACCAGCTGCATGCAGCAGATCTCGTAATCCCCCCCTTTCCCTGTCCCCCCCTTTCTTTGGAGTCCCGAAACGGTGCGGTGACAGACCGTGCGGTGACCCCGGAAACCCCCAGAGACCTCGCACGCTCCGTTACCGCACGGTCTTGGGACCCCGGAGGCCCCTGTCGCCCGAGACGTCCTCGGAGAACGGCCCGAGTCCCAAAACCGTGCGGTGACCCGGAATCCCCACCGACTCACCGCACGGCGTGGTCACCACCCCGTTCGGGGACCCCCGAGATTCCCAGGTCTCAATCTATTTCAGGCGCCTTCCTATTTGGAGTGTCGAGTGGTGTTCCCTCTTCCCTCTGCACGGGGCGGGCGGAATCCCGATCTGCTTCCAGCGCCTTCTTTTTTCATGCTTCTACCCACTTCTTCCGGCCGACGTGCACTTGGACCTGTAAGCTCGATTATTCGGGAAAGCGCTCGCTGGCGGCTCCCAGAACGAACACTCGCTACCCCATAGGCATTCCAGTAAGCAGCAGGCGGATTTGAGGTCTTCGCGCACTGCACAGGGCCCGCCCCGAGGCGACCAGGCTGCAGACCGATGCGGTGCGGTAATTATTGATATAGCCCGTCTCGGTCCGCTTAGATTCCGACCGTCTGGCGATCCGATGCGGCCCGATTTGGTAAAGCGTGGCCGATGTGATATGGTTTCACCTCTTTGCTCCGAGGCCCGAAAACCACTTCACTAATTTTGGGCCCCAGGGCCCACTGAGGCCCCAGGGGCCCGAGATTAGTGAAGTGATGTTTTTTTTTCCCACGTAAGGACCCCGAAATTCATCAATTCACTTAACCGAACCCAGGACGAAAGTCAGGGGCCGAATTGCTGCTGTGATGCCACATCGGCCTCGTATTTGCCGAGGCAGCTCTAACCGCATGCCGACGATAATACAGAATCCCCCCCTTAACCCCTCATATCTTAGTTTCCCTGGGCTCCATACGGTTCAGGTTGCCACGATAGGCGGGCGGGCGAGTTTTGTTGTCACCCCCCAAAGTTCGCATCGTATGTCTGATCTTCGTGGCATGCTTAACAGACATCTTAGCTTCGATATCTTCTGGGAAAATATTGTCATTCCTGGACCCCATACTTTCTCATCTGTACGGGATGGCTCTCGCTGGCAAAAGGTTACACCTTTGGATGGGATGTATTCGAGCACTCATCGTTAGCGAACGACCGCCCACTCCGAGAGTTCGGCACGGCAAGCATGCGTGCAAGGGCTACCCACAGGGGTGCGTACGGCCTTACGGCCAATGCGCAGCGTTGCTTGAAATTTTGCCGCTGCCCTTCGCCAGAGGTATAGAAGTATATGAACAAGTGTCCGTTCTTCAGAGGCGGCGATGCCCGATAAAGCGAGGTTGCATATGTGTACTTGACTGGACCCCCATTCCCTCCCTCAGCACGGTGGGGTAGCGTCGTGTCGTCTGGCGGCAACCCCGTCGACGGCGTTCCACGTCGAACGCCGCTGGCGCCGCCGCCGCCACCGACGACGACGACGACGACGACGCCGCCCACGCTCGTCGCCCTCTGGCTCCAGCGGCCTCCGCACGTTGGTGCCGCTCCGCAGCCCGAAGGCCGCTGCCTCGTCGCGACCTGCCCCGCCCGCTCCCTACCCCCGCAAGGCGCACCCCCTCTTTTGGCCGCCGTCATAGGCAAGCCGAGGCCTTTCAACCAAGGAGGAGTGTTTGGCTCAAAGGCCAATGTGCCCCCAATTCCACACTCTTGCCTACAGTGGGAACTCGACCACTAGAAGCCTTCCACAAGAAGCCCAACACAGAGACCCCAGGACGTTCATTGAATCATGGTGTGGGAGCGCCACGCTTTCCACATAGTAAAGGCACCGAAACCCAAGAAACCCAGGGCACCCTGGAGGCAAGCAGGATGTTTCTTGGCATGTGCTTTCACTGTAGGGTCACTCTTGCGTGTAGCCGATGTAAATTGTGCCGAACGAAAGGGGGGGATAGGGACCGGGGGGGGGGGGTATGAAATCTGCTGCGTGCAGCTGGTTTCGGCCCCGCCGCCGGGCCCATTCCTTGATACACGTGGGCGCCTTCAGGCGCCGGGAGAGCCGGGAAAATCAGCCACCTGAGCTGATTCTCTACCCTATACCCATTGGTATCCCCCCCTGTCGTCCCCCCCGAGTACATCTTGCCCGCCCCGACCGCCCCCTTGGCATCGCTCGGACGTGTGCATCTTTCCTTCGACGAGGACCATCGAGGAGCATCCGTGATCATTTAGCGAAAAAACCACGCACGAAACCAAAGAACAACACAGGAAATGGACGTCCGAGCGCCAGGAAAATCAGCTACGTGAGCTGATTCTCTACCCTATATACCCATTGCTATCCCCCCCTGTCTTTCCCCCCGAGTGCATCTTGCCCGCCCCGACCGCAAAGGCGCACCCCCTGCCCTGGCAGCGGCCCTCGGCGCGGCCGCCGCGGCCGACGTCCCCGGCGGGCGCCTCGGGGGGGGCGCCCGGCGCGGCGCCGCGCCGCCCGCCGCGGCGCCCCGCCTACCGGCGGGGCGAGATGGGTCTCCTCTCCTCCTCTCCTCCTCTCCTCTCCTCCTCTCCTCCTCTCCTCCTCTCCTCCTCTCCTCCTCCTCCTCTCCTCCTCTCCTCCTCTCCCACAAAGTCTCGAGAGGCCTGCGATCGCCTGGGAGGCTCGCCATAATTAGTGTTCCGTTATGCTTTGCACTTGTTCGCCATGTCAGTAAATTTTGGCTGTTTGGCCGTTGCTTGTCAGGGGAGAGTGCCAGCAGGGTTCGTTTCCATATCCAGTGCGTCTTGGGTTGTTTTGGAAGGAGCGTCACAAGGCCGAGGCGCACTGGATATGGATAAAAATCGAGCCTTTAGGGGGCAAATTTATCCATATCCAGGGGAAGGGAACCCGAAACTCCATATCGCAGTGGACATGGACAGAAAGTATTGCCCGCAGAAAGAACCGGTTCTAACGTTTTTCGCCGTTCTTGGCTTCCCGGAGCCTTCACGGGCCCCAGTGGGGAGGGGCGGGCCTTCTCAGGATGCTCGGAAGGCCTCCGGCCTTCTGAGAAGTGTTCTAAGCCTTGCCCGAAGGCGCAGAACTTCTCGGAAGGCGCGAGGGCTTCTGAGAAGCCCCGCAGCCTTCTGAGCAGGCCTCCTCCTTCCCACCTCACCCCCTCGCTCGCCGCTGACATGAGATCCGGGCGTTGCTCCTTTTTTCCACGCCGTGGGCGTTGTCGCCGAGTTGTAGCTCCCGGGGCCATCACAGTTCGATCCGGTTCGAGAAAGGCCGCGGAACAAATGGGTCCAGAGGGTTGCGGTCGGCACTTTTCGCGTGGGGCGTCGGCAGCAGCGGTCGAAGAACATGAGACGGAATAAACATACGTTGTCTGAGCTCCGCGCCGATTTTTGTGCCTGCCTGCGACGGCAACCTCCAAGGGCGCCTCTGGCGCCTCCCCTGGCGCCCTCCGCGCGCCAGGGAGGGGCTCCCCAGTGTTGATCCAAGGAATCCTCGCGGCTCTCCGAACGTCCATGTCAATGCTGTCTTTTCCCTATACGTGCGGCGCGGAGCTGCCACCTGCCTGCCCGGCGCCCGCCGCCACGTGGACACTTCGTCATCGTCCCTCCTCGCCCGTGGAGCCTCGGGTCGCACGACTGCGTCACGGCAAGGTTCCCCCCTTGGAGTTCCTCGACCCGAGCTCCCAGACCCGAGGCTTATGAGGAAAATCCTGGAGGCCTCGCGCGGCGCGTAATAGTAGTATGATCTAAGTAGTCCACTTGTCAGTTCCGTAAGCTATGGGTCGACGCTCGCGCGGCGATGCTCAGGAGTCGGTCCGACGTAAATTCGACGTAGTCCGACGTGAATCCGACGTAAATCCGACGTAGGTCCGACGTAAGTCGGGTCTCAAGTTGCCGCGCGAGGCCTCCAGGATTTTCTTTATAACGAGGCCCCACGGGGCCCAGCGCCGCTCCAGGGGCTCCGCGCGGACCTCCGAGACGTCATAATTATCTGTGCCGTTGCTGTTCTGTGCCCGCTCGAGGCGTGCTCACGATGCGCTGCGCTCCGCGTCCCGCTCCCGGGAGCGGGAGTGGACGTCGTTGTCTGCCTCGCGGGTCTGCTTGGCGGGTCGCAAACCATGGCAGGCGTGGCATTTTCTCGATGCCACAGGGGGTGCGCTGGGGGTGGGGTCGCTATCCGTCGTGCGCTCGCCAAGCGTGGCCAGCGTGGCATTTCCTCGATGCCACAATGGGGTGCGTTGGGGGTGGGGTCGCTATCCGTCGCACTTCGCTCCTGCGGCTTTCCCCCTTCTCATCCTTCCTCTTCCCCCTCCGCCCGTGTCTGGGGTTGCTGCAGGTTTCTTCCATCGTCGCTGCACTGCCCGATGGATTGTTAACCCGCGTAACCTTCGGTCCGACATCCTCTTGGGGGGCAGATTTGCCTCGCAAATGTATGGGCCCTGGCAGACCTCGGCCCTGGAGGAAACGCCAAACAATTGGTTTGCTTCGACTGATTCGCAGCCAGGCGTTGCGTCGGGCACGTCCCTTTACAAGGGGAATACTCCAACATTGTCCACGGTCAAGTAGTCGGGGGACGATTCTTGTATTATTTTTGACCATTAGGGGTATAGTTTGGGTATCTTTAATGACGGGAAGCGCCTTCTCGGAACGAGAAGGTGATGGGAGTTTTCTAGCATTACGGAATAAGGTAGAAATCTAAAAAACTAAGACGCGAGGGACAATTGGCTGCCATCCGTAAAGACACATCGCTTGGCGGATCCATTCACATTGGCTGTTTCGCTCGAGACATCCTCGAACACGTGAGATGTTGAAATCGTATGTTTGAAACGCCTTTCTTCATACATGAGGCTCTCGCTCGAGACATCCTCGGAACATGAGTTTCGGAGCTCGCTCACGAAATTCAGCGAATCGTTGGAAATTGCCGTTTCGCCTGAGACATCCTCGACACATTGAGATGTTGAAGCCGTGTGGTGAAGACGTCTTTCGTTAAACATGAGAACCTCGCTAGAAACATCCTCGGACAACGGCACTCGCAGCATCTTAGCTCGAGGTCCTGTCTCCTCCGACTCTTCCGTCTCCTCCGTCTCTGAGGTATCCTCCGTCTCTGATGTCTCCTCCGTCTCTGAGGTGTCCGTCTCCTCCGTCTCTGGGGTCTCCTCCGTCTCTGATGTCTCCTCCGTCTCTCCTCCGTCTCCTCCGTCCCTGACCTCGTTCTCCTCTTCCCCCTCCTCCTCTTCCTCCTCCTCCTCCTCCTCATCATCATTCTCTTCCTCCTTCATCACGCACGCACGCCGTACATCCCCCCGCCCGTGCCCCCACGACCATCCCGCACGCACGCCTTACATCCCGCCCGCCCGTCGCCCCCATTACGCATCCCGCACGCGCGCCGCACATCCCCCACGCCAATCGCCCCCATAACACATCCCGCACGCACGCCGTGAATCCTCCCCGCCCGTCGCCCCCATAACACATCCCGCACGCATGCCGTACATCCCCCCCCCCGTCGCTTCCATAACACACCTTTGCACACGCGCGCACACACGCACACAGCCGCTCACACAGGCACATACACAGGCACGCATACATACACGCACGCTCGCACCAGAGTAACCACAGCAACAACAGGCAACCACTAAGTCCGGAGAATCAACCACTAATCCCGCTCTCCGCGCGCGACGCGTACTCTGGTGAACTCTCTGTGCGGAAGGCGCTTGGGGCCTTCTCCCCCCATCCCTGGCTAATCGTCTGTGGGGGGTGGGGGGGGGGCTCGTGCGGCAGCAGCAGCAGCAGCAGCAGCATCAGCAGATGACGTCGAAGAGGGGAAAGAGGAGGAGGAGGAGGAGGAGGAAGGAGAGGAGGAGGAGAATGATGGGGAGGAGGCAAGGCCAGCGCGGCAGACCACCACGGCAGACCAGCGCGGCACGCCAGCGCGGAGTTCGTTGGCGTGCTCAACCAAACGTTCTCTGACAAGCCTTGTGGACAAAGCGACGGTCCCCCTTCTTGTCCGCTTCGGTTTTTTCCTCCTAGATCCGCTTGTAGGGGGACATGCCCGACC